TTTTGAGGCAGCCTGGCATYGYTTAGGGGCAKCYTGRTGTCATTTAGGGGCAGCCTGGCATTGTTTTGGGGCAGCCTGGTGTCATTTAAGGGCAGTCTGGCATCRTTTAGGGGCAGCCTGGCATTGCTTAGGGGCATCCTGGTGTCATTTAGGGGCAGCCTRGCRTCATTTTGGTGTTGTTTAGGGGCAGCTTGTCATCATCTTGGGGCAGCCTGGCAYTGTTTTGGGGCAGCSTGGTGTTGTTTTGGGGTAGCCTGGCATGRGGGCAGAACCTCTTACCAAACACACAGACAAGGGGACTTGAAACCTCCAAACCCACAGCTGGATCAGTTTGGTGGTCCTAAAAAGAGACAAACAGTGCAGCTGGGCTAAACCCACACGGGTTTTTCTGTACCTTGGTGATGTGCTGTCAGCACATCCACCCTGATGTGCTGTCAGCACCTGGCTCTGGTACACCGGGACTGTCCTGGCCCAGAGGTGTTCCCTCGTGGCCCCGGATCACTGCTGCACCTCTTGCACTCCAGCTCCATGCCCTGCAGCGTCGCTGGAGCTGCTCTTCGCTCTTGTTTGGGATGCAAACGCCACCGCACCTCCAAAAGCCACTGGGGCACCTGGAGGAAGCCCAGTGACATTGTMCTCTCCATCCTGGATGGGATGTTCCTCTCAACCCCATCATGGGGGGGATGAAGGAGGGGAAACAAACATGGTATGACAGGCATGATTCTGCCTTTCTATCCTGTGGTGACACAGGACCTTCATGGATCACTCAGGAGAGCAAATCCTGCTCTGCTCTCCGACCCTGTTCCTTTATTACAATTTCTTAAGGCAAACTGCGAGGTTTATCTGTGAGCAGGAGGTCTCTGTCACAAACCTGCTTCTAACCTCCCTTTCTCCCTTGCAGGACCAGTACATGCTCCTGTACTCCTGCATCCRGGACATCATTGCTCGGGACCAGCCCTAACAGAGCCAGCTCAGAACCAGCCTGGCYCTTCCTGGCACCCCTCTGCGGGTCCTGGATGGAGCTGGGAGCTGGTGAGAGCCCCGTGGGACTCTTGGAACAGAGCGAGCCCAGCACTGTCCCCAGCGTGGTGTGAGCTGTAACACAGACAGCGGACAGCCGGACAGTGCCCTGACACTCAGTAAGGGGCTGGGCAGGATGCTCTCTTCCTTTGGCCATCTCCTGGGATTCCTGGTGCCTGGAAGGTTCTCTAGCCCCACTCACAGTGCACTGTGGGGCTCTGTGGGGCCCCCGAGGCGCAGCATGAGCACGGAGCACCGCGATCTCCACGTGCCATGGGCACCGGCGTGAGGAGGCCCCAGACATGCCCTGGACTGTGGGAGCTGGCTCRTCTGGGTTGGTGGAACGGCCCTAGGTACAAACAATAAACAGCTCTTGTAAAGTGTRTGCTAAGAGAGGCTTTGGGGGTCCAGTGATGGGAAGGCTGCAGCTACAGCTGGTCCCGAAAGGGCAGCGGTGTCCCCAGCCACAGGACACAGCGGTGTGCCTCAGGCATGTCCATGGCACACAGCAGTGTCTCTCGGACATGTCCATGGCACACAGCAGTGTCTCTCGGGCATGTCCATGGCACACAGCAGTGTCCCTCGGGCACTCCAGATGCTGCAGTCCATGGCACACAGCAGCTTCTGCTCACTCTCATCCACTCCTTCCCCTAAGGCAACCCCTCTGCAGGGAGTGCCCAGCCCACCCACAGCTCCATGAGGAAGGGATGCATTTTCAGATGGATCCCAGGCTCAGAGAGTGAACCTGCAGCTCCTCAGCACCAAGGAGCAGGGCAAAGCCACCTGATTCAGCTGGCAGCCCCAGCAGTCCCTGCAGGGACAAGGCTGCCCTACGAGCAGGGGTGGCCATGCAYGAGCTGAAATCACGAGTGGCAACTCTGCTCATTGAGCTGCAAGTGCAGGACAGAAGGAAGAGTAAAACAAAGAAAATGGTTTCACAACCATATTCCTGGTGTAGGAAAAAACTGCATGTGGGACACTGTCTGCCCTTCACCCYTCAGGCAGTGCGGGGTTATGGTGCAGACTCAAAGCAGTAACCCTGTCCTGGTGTGACCCACATCCCTGTGCCATGCCCCATGGGAGCTGCCCTGGAGCAGGGTGAGGAGACAGAACGGGTGTGATGGGGGATCCCAGMACCTGTCACAGAGAGCAGAGAGCCCCACGTGGGTGACTGAGTTGGCCACTCATCCTAATGCTCCCTCTTCCAAAACAAGGAACGGGACACCCGGGGCACCTCAGCATCRGCCATCCCAGCCCTGGGATGAGGCCTCTTTTGYACCTATATCTGCTTTTCCCTCTTCYAAGCCACGTTTCTCTGTGGCAGTTGCTTTCCCAGCCCCTCCTGCTCCCCCCGTGCTCCCTCTCCCCCAGCACCCAGCGGAGCCCCTGGTCTTGTGTCCTGCCTGCTGTCCCCTGCTCCACAGCCCCGCTGTGGGCACAGGCACAGCACAGCTGGCAGGGAGCAGGGTCCTGTTCCCATGTCACTGCATCTTCATGCCAGGGTCACCCACCAGGGCGATGTGGTCACTCATTGCTCAGCCTGCAGTGACCATCCAGTGACTTGTTACTGTTCCTAGTAAGATGCCAACGTGCCAGGGGGCTTTCAGGAGGATGAGTGAATACTTCCAACATGAAAAGAGCCTGTGAAGCTCAGTGGATGTTCTTATGTGCACAGAAGGATTTCTGGTGTTGCCTTGGGAGGATCCCAGCCCTTGCTCACAGGGAGCTGATGGCTTTATGGCTTTTAGGAACCAGTGACTCCCAAAGCACACTGGTGTTGCAGGATGAGGCTCACCGCAGGGAAATGTGTGTTTCCATGGCTCTGTAGCTGGGATCAGCGGGATTGGGGTGTCAGCTGCTCACAGGGTCCCTGTGCTCTGCAGCAGCAGCACCTGCCATTGTCCCTGGGCCACCATGGCAGGACACACCAGTGCACTCTGGGTGTTAACATCCAACAAGAGAGCTGCAAAATCCACYCTGGTCCGAAGAATTGCCACTCGTCTGTCCAGAGTCTGGAGCTGACAGGCTGGGGGAGTTCAGACCTGCCCAGCACCACAGAATCTCACCAGGGCTGGGGGTTTCACCCCAARAGTGCCCAAAAGGAGTGGTCTCAAGGACCATGAGTCCTGCTCACACATGCACAGAGCCCCATCCTCCTCAGACCTCCACTGGAACCAACCYTGATGTCCAGCTTCCACCCTCCAGCTGCATCCAGCCTTAAAAATAACTTGGGCTACAGGACAGCAGCCTTTCTGCCAGCACCTGCAGGTTCCCTCTCACACCCCCCTAGAACTGTGAAATGCTGAACTTTTCCTCTGGAGACTCAATCCCACCCACTTGGAGCACTCTCYCTGCTTCACCCTCAGCACAGATGGCCTGGGAAGCAGTGAGGGCAGAGCTGCCTGTGTGGGGACAGTGAGAGAGCTGGGACAGGGCTGCTGTCAGTCCCTCCAACAGGGCAGACCTGGCTCCAACTGCAGCATCGCCCTGCTGCTGCTGCTGGGCACAGCCTGGGGCTCTGCTGGCTTTGCAGGGCCCAGGAATCYGGGGTGCTGAGCAGGGTTAAGGCTCCCAGGTGTGTGTAGAGGTGAGCTTTAGCACCAGGCTCTTGTTGAAGGTGTGCAGGCTCCACTCAGCAAGGACAGCTTTTGCTCGTGCGTGTCCCTGCACAATTTATGATGCTAAAACACTTGATGACATTGTCTCAGAGGATTTCAGAGTCTGTAGAGTGGCCTACCTGCACAGCAGGGCCAGTCAGAGTGACAGTGAGGGTACCATAGGGTCACAGGAGCCTTTGGGGGCACAGAAGAAGGCTGAGCAGGTTTTTGCTCTCTAGGGCCTGGCAGCCTATGTGTGGCACTTGTGCCACTGGCTGTCCCCCTGGATGAGTGGACACTGTCCCTGTGGCTCTGCAGCACCCCTCAGGAGCCCAGGGCTCTGCAGGGACAAGTCCCAAGTGCATCTACGGGGGTGTACCCCCAGCCCAGCCAGCACTGCCTCCTCCAAAGGGGCAGCTCCAGGGATAGGGAGAGGCAGGAGCTCCCCAGCCTGTCTTTGCTGTTTTCCCTCACCCAGAGCTGCCCTGTGGTGTTCAGTCATTATGTCTGGGGCTTTGCTCAGTGCCATGCTCTGTGGAGAGGCTCTGGCTCCACAGCTGGTGGCAGARGAGGGGACAGGATTGCTGTCATGGAGGAGCAGAACATCATCCACATGGCACAACCTGGCCACACTTCGGCCACTCTGATGGCAGTGACCAAGCAGGGGTRGGTGAGCTCTGCTGGCACCTGCCCCACACCAGCTCTGCCCACTGCAGCTCACACAGCACATCCTGTCCATCTGCACAGGCAGTGTCCCTGGAACCTTCCACTGCCCCTGGGGAAGGGCTCCTGCACCTCCTGCATGTCCCTGCATAGACAGCAGCCCCAGGGCTGGGCCCTGTCACCATGGCTGGTGGCACACAGCTGCTGGGGACACTGGGGACATGGGGAAGGAAGTCAAAGCCATGGTGGGGGAGGCACGAGGCTGCCTGCAGAGCTTCCATAAATCCAGGAGCGAGTGACCCCTCAGCCCTCACCCCTGTTTGAACATCACCACGGTGCTTCCAGCAGAGCCAGAGCCTGCAGGCACCTGCAGCCAAGGCACAGCCCCTCTGAACCCACTGTGGCACCTTGTCACCCCCAGGACAAGCACGGCACAGGGATCTGTCACACAAACCAGCTGGCAGGTTTTGCCCAGTGAGTTGCAGTTTTTGCCCATGTTATTTTTCTGTGTCATTGTGGCAGAGCCCTGTGCTCTGTGCTGCACGTCCTGCCCCACAGGAGGCCAGGCTGGTGACCATGATGAATTTGTGACCTCCCCGCTGAGTCTGGAGCTGCAGATGCTCGCAGAGGGTGTTGTGGGGGCTGCGGTTTGGATGAATAATTTTCCAGCCCTGCAGCACAAGAGCCATGAAAGCCAGAGGGGGAGAGAAAGACAACAAAACATGAAAACAAAACAAGCCTCTGGCTTGGGCTGCCCAGGGAGTTCTGGGCCATGCTTGTTTTTCTTGCATTTATCCTGCTCCAGATGAGCAGCATCCAGCCCTGCCCTCCTCCACCAGTCCCCTGTGCAGAGGTCAGAACATGGGAAAGGAGCAACACCAGCCCTGTTTGGAACCCCCTTCCTCCTCTCTGCTCCCCTTCCCATGGCTGCCAAGTGACAGGAGCCAGGGACACCCACCCTGCAGGGCTGGGGACCCACGGGGGATCCACAGCAGCACCACAGCTCCTTGATCCCACAGTTCCTCCGCTTTATTTTCTTTTTGAGTCTTTCAGCATTTCAGAAATTATCAGCTTAGGAAAAATTACGCAGCTTTTTTGACATGATGATTAATTAAAATGTAGCTACATGAATTACATAAAAAGTG